GACTACGAGCAGAACAAAAAAGGGAAAGCTCTGTCTTTGCTTTGACCCATCAAGAGGCAACAGAGGATCCAAATGTATTGGCAGGTATTTGTTCTAACAAAAAAAATATTTTTTTGCTATAAATATGAAAAATTCTATATTTTTATAATTTTATTTATACAATAGTACCGATCAAATCGGAACAAACCGCGACCTGTGACCCGCAGGGCTCGACCCGGATGGGTCAGTGGGTGGGCCTGGATTGTAGTTCAAAATTTGTGGGTAGACCCGGAACCCATAGCGGGCAGGCTTTTTTCACACGGGCCATTACCGGGCTCATATGTTGGCAGACCCGGCTCGGACCATCCGGATTGACACCTCTACATAGAGGGATGATTCACTTGTGCTTTGATTGAAGCCATTTTGAATTAAATAACTATTGATTTTGCTATTCTATGTTCGGGAGCATGCTTTAACATATATAATGCGTTTTGAAGAGGATAAACTTTTGTCTTCTTTACCTTTGATTTTGAACCCTTCAGGTTGTTAAAAATGCTAATTTTACATAAAGCTAAAAAGCTTTTAGGAAAATTGTAGTAGATGTTCAAAACCTTTCATTTTGTTGTAGAACCTTAACCTTTTATTTTTTCGACCGCGGTACCAAATCTTTCACTTTAAAGACAACCAAAGTCCATTGGATAGATTCCGTCCAGAATTCCGTTAGTCAACACTTACCTTTTATATTTTCGACCTCGGTACCAAATCTTTCACTTTAAAGACAACCAAAGTCCATTTGATAGATTCCTTCCATAATTCCGTTAGTCAACACTGAACTTAGAATTTTGACTCAAATTGACAAATGAAATGAATGGTAAAAATAGTAAATTTATATTATTTATAATAAAACAATTAAAAAGAAAAAATTGCAGCGGAGGTCCCAAACCTTTCATTTTGCTGTAGATACCCTAACCTTTCATTTTTACGACCACAATCCCAAACCTTTATATTTAACTGTAGTCATGGTCCAAATCACTGATTCCATCCATGATACTGTTAGTCAATAGTTAAATTGCAATTTTGACTCAAATGGACAAATTAAATGAGGGACAAAATGGTATATTTACAATTTTCATAATAAAATAATTAGAATAATCAAATTAAAAAAAACAAAAGTATCGTTCATCTTCCCCAATCTCCCCTTCCCTCAACCCAAACTAAATCAAAATCTCACCATGCCATCACCGCAACGGCCACCGAGGTTTTTGGCAAAGACACCATCAATTTTTGTTCTTAAAATCGTCAGTTATCAGAAGAGAACATATACAAAAGAGACTTCACCATTTGGTGTATCTAATTTAAATAGTTCCAATATAGTTTTGATGAATCCGGTGGATTAGATACATTTGGAGTCTAGCAAGAACTTGCTCGTGGCACTGATAATGAATCTTCGAATAGATTTACACTATCAACTTCAAGTTCTGATGGAAGTACGAGCTTTGAAATAAATAAAGATGACATCTCATAATCTTGACTCTTCGAGTGGTTTAACTAAGTGAGGATACACGGTGGAGCGTGCAGGATCTAGTGCTCAAGTTGAAACATCAGTTGTACAATCTCAAATTCTTGGACCTGGAAACAAAGCATTAAATGCTAATGCTTCTAAGCAACAAGAATCCCAAGTGAGTGCAGCTGCAATTTCACCAGCAGATTTGTACAGATTCGTGTTTGTGGGTATTGAAGAAGAGAAGGCAGAGGATACATCTTACTAGGTTTTATGCAGTGGCCGTGGGTAGGGGATTTTGACGGTGGTGGTGGTATGCGATGGTCGTGGCGATGATGACAGGGGTTGGGATTTTGATTTTGTTTGGGTTGAGGTGTTAAGGGAAGGGGGTAGGGGTGAGAATGTTGGAGAAGATTAACAATACTGACCAATTTTTTTAATTTAATTATTCTAATTATTTTTTTATGAAAATTGTAAATATATCAGTTTGTCCCTTATTTAATTTGTCCATTTAAGTCAAAATTGCAATTTCAATGTTGACTAACGGTATCATGGACGGAATCGGTGATTTGGACCATGGCTGCAGTTATTTTATAAAGGTTTGGGACTGCAGCCTTAAAAATGAAAGGTTAGGGTATAATCTACAGTAAAATGAAAGGTTTGGGACCTTCGCTGCAATTTTCCCATTAAAAAATAAAAAAGTAAAACCGTGAACATCTTCTTCGTCCCCACCATCACCCCACCCTACCCCTAAAATCAAAAACCAGAACCAGTCAACCACTGCCATTCGTACGTCGTCGCACCGTCAAACCATCGTCGCTTCTGTCACTTGCCCACACTGCACAACTCTGAATCTGTATCCTTACAAGAACAAATTTTCTTCGTTCCAATCTTTTCTTCCATAATTTACATCCTTTTGCTTTAGATTTTACCTTCTCCTAATCTTCAAATTATCAATCTGCACAATTTATACCATCTTACTTCTCCCGATTTTCAGATTTTTCTATTTTTTTCATACTCCAGCGTACACACGATTTGCACACTTGTAAAATGGATTTAACAAAATAGTTAGAACCCGAATTCGAATCCAAGTGTAGTGGTGATGGATTTACAGAGAGGACAAATAAATTGGGAACAGAAGATATTGGGTCAGAACAGGAAAGATTGAATTTGGACCAATTAGCCGGTTGACCTGCTAGTCAATTCTACTAGTTATCCCTTGTTTATGGCTGACATTATTTGGTCTATTTCTTGAAAATCTTCATCTTCCAATGCTTTGCCTCTCCTTTACACATCTGTCATGGTTTGCAAAAACCCAGTTTTTTAATTTTGGAGAAAATGGTAAAGCTATAAATAAGGTAAATGTCGATGGAAAAGCACACCACATGAGTAGGAAAGAAACTGGTGAAGCTAACCGGAGGCTTGCCGCCATCACAGGTGGTGCCGTGGTGCCACCACCTTCTCCGATTTGTGATTACTCAGATTTTGGAGTGGGGTTGGGGTGAGGGTTTGGAGAAGATGAAGTTCACATTATTATTATTATTATTATTTGATTTTTTATTTAGGGTATGTTTGGTATAAATTTTCAGCAGATTTATAGCAAGAAAATGATCGTTGTTTTAACCGATGGGTCCCACTTGTGAGTAAGGAGGTCAACTTTGACTGCTGAGATTGCTTTCCAACGGTTCAAAAATTCATTTTTTGGCTTGAATAATTGATACTAGACACACCCTTAATTTTATTATAGAAAATGTAAATATACTATTTTACCCATCATTTAATTAGTCAATTTGAGTCAAAATTCAAATTTCAATGTTGACTAACGAAAATTTGGATGGAATCTGTCCAATGGAATCCGGTTGCCGTTAAAGTGAAAGGTTTGGGATCTCGGCCTCAAAAATGAAAGGTTAAGATCTATTCTGGACAAAATAAAATATTTGGGATCTCCACTACAATTTTCCCAAATTTTTAACTCCAATTGAGCTACCAATGCCGAACTATACGGATTGTCTCCATTCTTGCAATCGGAGAAAATGTCTCTATGAAGTGAATCCGCAACTGTTGAGATTATCCTTTGACGGCAAGTCGTGCCTTATATTTTTAAATTGGCCTGTCTTGGTTGTATTTTGCTAGTGTTTGGCTCCCATGAATTTTTTTTACTATTTTTCTCTTTCTTAATTTTAATCATACATTCTCCAAATAAAATAATATTACAATAAAATCTAAAACTTTCCATTATCCCAAGTTTTTTTTCTCAATAGTTGAAATTTCTTCATTCAATTCCTTTGTCCAGCTTTTGTCTTTTGAAGCTTCTTCAAACGATTGAGATTCACAAGAGAATAATCCGAGTTCATGTGATTTATAGATTTCTCTTAGTGAACGTGTTTGTTCTTGGAGGGGTTTCTGATTCTTCTTCAATTATTGGATATTTGGAACTACGTGTTTTTCAGTGTTGGAAATTTGAGACGTCGATGGATCATTAAACTAATGTAGTCTGGAATCTATGACTGTTTATCCTTCCAATCACCGGTTGCACTTTCGTCGAACACGTCTGGAGAAACTGTTATTTTATTTGTGTTTGGATATAGTAAACGATATCCTTTAGACTCATCACTGCATCCAATGAATAGAAGCTTTTGTCCTTTCTCATCAAAATTTTCTTTGTTTTGTGATGAATGAGGGCATAGGCAATGCTACCGAAAATCTTTAAGATCTACATTTGGCTTCTTTTTGTTCCATGCCTTGAACGGAGTTTTGTTTCTAACAGCTTTTGTAGGAGATCGATTCAGAATATATATTGCAGTGTTTACAGCCTCTACCCAAAAAAAAAATTGGAAATCATTTGCCTTTTAGCACGCTTCTTGCAATTTCGACAACGTTGCGATTCTTTCTCTTAGCTACTCCATTTTGTTGTGGAGTTCTGCTAAGTGTCGCTGCCTTTGAATGCCATTTACTTCGCAATATTCAATGAAGGATTGTAGAGAGATTCTCCTCCACGATTGGTCCTCAAGATCTTTATTAGAAAACCACTTTCCTTTGTGTAAGTGATTTAAACTGCAGAAAAATAGAGAATGCCTCAGATTTTTTATTAAGAAAGAAAATCCACATCATCCTTGTGTAACCATCAAAGAAAAATTAAATCTCTCTTGTTTCCAGGAGTAGGAGTTTGCATTGGCCCACAAATTTCTGAATGAACAAGCTCCAATGGCGTTTTTGCTCGGCATGAAGTTTTAGGAAATGGAAGCTTATGCATTTTCCCATAGATACAACCTTCACACACTTTGTCTGTCATTTGAATTTTAGGAAGCCCGGTCACCATATTTTTCTCCTTGAGCAATTGAAGTCCCTTAAAATGCCACAGATGTGACAAATCTGCATTTTCAACTTTGAGTGCACAATTGTCGTCAAAGTTCTGTTTTTCATTTCAACATTTGCCACGATGACATTTCTCTTCTTATCAAAATTTTTCTTCTTTCATTGTCGAAGTGAACCGAAAAAATTCTTTTGCAAAAGTTGTCCAATACTTAAGAGATTAAATGAAAGATTTGGCACATAAAGAACATCGGTAATGAGTTCTCTGTTACCTCCCTTAGTTTGGACTGCAATGATGCCTTTTTCTTCTGCACTTCTTTGTGTTCCATCTCCAAGAATGATTTGAGAGGTGATGTTTGGATTGATCTCTACAAAGATATCTTTATTTCATGTCCTGTGATTGCTAGCACCGCTATCCAAATACCATTGATTTTTGGATTCGAAGTCACTATTTTGGTGAGAATAAAATAAAATTTCATCTTTACTTCCTTTCAAAAAAATTACCGCGTCTTCATTTTTCCCTTTATTTTGAAACCAACAATCCTTTTGAGAATGATTAGGAACTTTGCATCTTTTGCATTTAAAATAGCAATCTTTTGATTCATGATTATTCTTTTTGCAAATAATGCAAGATTGAGCCTTACCGGATTGTTGTGGTGCCTTGGCATTCCAATAGCTTTGCTTTTCATTTTGACTCCACTAGCTAAACTTTCCCTTTTTTGTTATTTGAACCTTCCATGATTTATTGAACTTATTTTTGAAGCTTTCCTTGATTGGAAAGATTGTTCGGTTGATTGACTAGCCGAACGATTGATTCTTTGTGTGCAAGAAGTGGTCCGGTCAACTCGTACATGGTCATTTTAGACAAGGCCTTTGATTCTTCAATTGCAGCGGCCACATGATCGAATTTTGAAGGGAGACATTAGAGAAACAACTCTTTTTTCTTTAATCGTGTCTCCGCAACTTTTGATTTGCTTACAATCTTTGAAATTCGTGAAGAGAAATCAAGAACCGACTCTTGTTCATCCATTTTGAGATTGTCACAATCTTTCCATAAAGATTGAAGTTTCAACGCGATAGTTTTCTCCGAGCCTTGAAATTCATTATTTAAAATTCTCCATGTATCTTTGGCATTTTTAACACCAAATATACGAGGAAAGTTTGATTTTCCAACTCGCTGTTGAATATATCGCAACGCCATTGCATCTTTCTTTAAATATTCGTTTTGTAACTTCGGATCTTCTTCATCGTCTTCAATCAAATCTTCTACCACCTCATCATCTTCAATGACATCCCATAAATCTAAAGAGATTAAGAAAGTTTGCATTTGACACTTCAATATTCACAATGTTCACCTTCAAAGAATGGTACTTGACTTGGTGAATATGTGAACAAGGAGGCTGCTGAATTTGTTGCCATAGCTTCTCTGTTTCTGTTGAAAGAAACAAAAATCTGCTGCTTAAGATAATGGACTGTAATTTAGAAATTCAACAATTTAAGTCACTTCTTGTGGTTGTGAATAAAGCTTAATTGTTGCTGAAATTCTAAACAATTTCAGGCGCACAATTTCAACAGGAAGTTTGCTACAAGGATTAAATTTGCAGCTGCTATGGTGGGTTTTTGAAGCTGATTTTGTTTCAGCTTTTGGTAGGCTCTGGTTTTTATATTCTTCCTGAGCTCTGATTCCAAAATTTGTTGGGCGTAGAAGAAAATAGTTATGAGAAATATGAGACTTCACTTATAAAATTTGAGAGTTTACGAAGGAGTTGCTACAGCACACTCATTCTCTGTTTTTACCCAGATTTTTCTTTCACTTCTTCTACATGCTCTAACACTAGATGCATACGTTCCTTTCATAGAGAATATGGAGTAAGCTAGTCCTAATAATTCTCTACAATTACAAGCAGCAAATAAACTTGGAAAAGGAACTTGTGAACAAAATTATAGAAACTAGGT